TAATCAGACGCGTCTCAGGTAAACGGTTATTAGAAGCAGCGAGACGACAGAGACAGGCTGAAACGCTCAACGACTAGAGCAGAATAAGTACCAGATCAGAGGAAAGGCCTAGAAAGACAAATCAGTGGAGTTAAGCTTAAGGCTCCAGTGAGAAACCCAAACAGGAGTTACACAGCAGAGGTAGAAAGGGGCTTATAAAAGGAAATTAGGAGGCAGAGATTTCCTGCTTCTCTTTCGCCAAACTGGTTCTTAGGCAAGAACTTTGGATCTAGTCCACAACTAATTACTGTAAAGGATAGGCAGGAACTCCCTAATATATGAATTGTCTTTTTTATTTTAAATGTCACAGCAGTATGTTGATTAATTATTTTCTGTAAGAAACGTTTTTAGTAATAAGCATCTATAACTGTAAAAAAGCCCATTTATGTCACTCATTTCTGCGCTAGAAGGTGCAGAAATTAGTCTAAAACTGAATTGTCGATATCAGAACATAGCATTTGCAATCAGTAACCAACTGTTAGGGTAGGAGAAGGAAGTGCTTGGTTTGGGGAAGCTTTGCTTCGAAAATTATGTACTTTGGCAACAAAGATGAATGCACCAAAAATTAACCAAGCTTTAGACATCCATATGATTCATTAAGAAAAAAATTGGAATTTTGTGGAGGGACGTCCTTTAAGCGGAACTGGACCCTGCAACGTAATACATGACCCAAAACGTGCTGAATACTGTATATCCACAAAGTACAAGAGAACAATGAAAACTACTGGGCAAGGTCAGAGTCCAGATCTTAAACTCTAAGGGCCGGATCTATCAAAGGTTTGCGTGTATAAAAACGTGAGCTATTTCACTGCGCACGCTAAAAAATGTACAAACTGATCTATCAACAGCGTGCTAAAAGGATTTGGTCTTTAAAACGTGCTAAATAGCGCCTCTTATCCATTTAGTACTTTTTCTGCAATGAATATGCAATATGGGGCGTTTACACGCAAAAGTGCGTCTTGTGGGAGGAGAACATGTAAATATATTAATTTAGCACTCGCAAAGTGATTTATCAAACCTAAAAAAAATTTTGCTAACGGTATCTGACTCTATATTTAACACGTTTCAAAAGAAGGTGCAAATGGTCTGTATGCGTAATTGCGCACAAATGGCAGCGGTTATTGTCGCAAGAAGGAGACATGGAAATGAAGCAATGAGACGCAGAGAAGGCATTTTTTCACTCCGTGAGAATGTTTTTGGAATGAACGAGGAAACGATCATCAAAACATGTCGTTTATCCAGCATTGCCATTTTGGAGCTGTTGGGGGAACTCCGAATGGATTTGGAGCCAGCCACAAGGAGGACCTACGCAATACCAGATATCACAAAACTCCTTGCAACGTTGCACTTTTTTGCATCTGGGTCATTCCTGCGTACGGTTGCAGCGAGAGCTGGGATCTCCCAATCTCGTTTTTCAGAAGTGCTGTCCGACGGGGTTGGGGTTCTCCCCCTGCGCCTGTGGAGCAACATGCCAATGCTGCGGGGATGCGTAATCTCATCCACACTCACTTCTTGTGAGCCATTTGGTATGTGCATTTTTCTACAGGCCAATACAAAACACCTGTTTTTTTGTTGTTTTTTTTTTTTTTTTACTGCAGTGAAGTAGAAATTCAGCCACATACCACCTTAGGGAATAAAGGTTGCCAAAGTTTTTTCTTTATATCACTGTAAGATTTAAATTTCTTAATGCACTAGTTTGTAGAAACTACAAACTTCTTTGCCGCAAACGCGCAAAACCATCATTTAAATAGGGCGTCTCCAACAGTTTTGCACCTGCCACCAGTTACGCAATCGCTCTTGTTAAATCACCCGCAAACCATGGTTCAGCCCCTCGCGCGAAATTCCAGTTTGCGAGCGCAAATTACTGCACGCAAAATTGGATCTTGATAAATCCGGCCCTAAGATGCTGTGGATTTTTATTAAACAGGCTGGACCAATCACATTGTGGGAGTGGGGACGTAACGATGCAAGATGCAAGAATTACCCATAATGCAGCAGCCCTTTTTTGCTAGAATAACATCATGTTGGTGACCGCCACGAAGCAATGATAAATAAGGGAAATGGTGCCGGCCAGGAGCCCCGCTTCAAGGGGAAATGTTTGATCCTGGAAATTGCCTTATTATTGAACGTTAACTCCTGTCTGAAAAAACAAAACAAAAAAATTCAGTGGTCCTTGTGCTGCAGATAGAAAAGAAGTATTTTCTAGCACATGGTAACAGTAGGAGGAGATCCCAGAAAACCCCAGAGGAGGTGAGCAAAGAAGCACTAGAATGATAGTCTGCACCCTGTTTGGTTCATTTTTTTAATTATTGATAATTTATTTATATAATACACGATTTAAACATTAACTATAGCTTTAGATTATTAAAGGCACAGTTAAGACATTAAATGTTACATTAAATATTTAAAAATGCACTTTAAATCAGTTAAGTAATTCAGTGTCATAAAAAATTATATTTATTATTATTTATTCTTGTTAAAGGTTTATAAAAGTGTCAACCTGTGACCACAAAAATAACAGTAATACAGACCAGCGACCCCTAAAATTACATATAGTTAATTTACTTTAGATTTATTTATACATATAGAGTGATTATTTATGATTAAATTAATATATTTGATTATTTTATTATGTTACATTAAAGTTTGATTGATTATTGGGACATTTAACTTCTAGTAGGTAGCAGTGTTGTGGTCAAGACCACCTAACCCGAGACCAAGACAAGACCAAGACCAAAGTGTATCGAGACCGAGACAAGACCAAGACTTTTAGGGTCAGAGACCAAGTCAAGACCAAGACCGAGGAAAGTCGAGACGATCAAAATTGTATTTTCTCTGCCGTTCATGAACAGTACATACATTTATGTTGTTTTTAAATGTGCTATTTCAAAACAGTGTGCAAAATTCTGTAAAATGTGTATCCATCCATAAAATGTTTTTTCTCTTTCATATACAGATTAAAGCTTCACTGCATTTACCAGTGAGACAGGTTATTGCTTGGATTTGAATCCAAGCATCCAATAAAAAGAAGGATCTTAAAGAAACTGATAATATTCTGATGATTAGTGTTATTTCCAAAGTTGTGGTCTTGACCGGTCTTGAAATAAAATTCAGAGTCCTCAGCAACCGAGACCGAGACAGGACCAAGACCAAATGCGGTCAAGTCTGAGATGAGACCGAGACCATCAAAAAATGGTCTCGAGACCGGTCTTGAGACCAAGACCGATCTCGAGTACTACAACACTGGTAGGTAGTAGGTACCTACTACCTACCCTTTCAGCCCATACTACCTACTACCGTAGGTAGTATGGGCTGAAAGTACAAGGCCTCCTGTATCATGCAGGAAGATAATAAAAACTTGTACTTTAGAGAAAAAAGGGTTTTTCTTTTGTATAAATCATAACGTGGAACCTGAACCCCAGCACATTTGACCTGATTGAGTGATGCTTTGGCAGCACTCTCTGTTTTCTAAGACAGAAGATTAAACAAACTGCAGAACCCAGAGTTTCTTCTACTATTGAAATCTAGGAAACACTTTTAATGATTTTATAAGTTTCTTTGATAAAGTTTACTTAACAATTTTAAAAGAAACACCTTCCTGGTTTGATAAGTAATCGAAAAAGTATATATATATTTTTTTTCATTAGCCTTATCTCTTAGAATAGAAAGGTGAACAAGAGAGTGAAGGTGAGTCATACAGTCTTCCTCGGCACGTAGAATTGTAAAGGTTAGAGAGAAATCAGTCGATCCGCTGGTTTTTAAGACTCACAGAAGCAGAAACACCAGAACCGGTTTGGACAAGCTGAGACACGAGAGTGCAACATCTGGGAGGGGGGCTGATCGCTGATATAAGAGGAAAAATCATGCAGCTATTTGGAAATATGGTACAAGGGAGTGAAGCTAAAAAATAAAAATAAAAGTTGGCTCTTTGCACAACTTATACTGTATTTTAAATGTTCTTAACAATAGATTTATAATGTTTTAAGGCTAAAAAAATCATTTAAAATTTCTCATTTCTCTGCAACTTCAAAAGCTACAGTGAAGCTTCATCTCTCTTTAAATTTCCCTTTACTAAAGCCGACTCTGATAATACACAAACTTAACGATATGTATTTTGGATAACTTTTTCATGGCAACCAGTTTTACCTAAACTTTGCTTTCCATTGACCTAATTTTTTGCATCATTTGATGTACATATAGTCAGAAAAAATAGTAGAAATTGCATAACAGCAGACTAAAGTTGTCTTACAGCAGGGATTAGGTTGATATTAATGTGTTGGGTCTATGCAATACATGAGGTTAACTTATGGTTATCTATGATGAGCACCAGCCTACAGTGTAAATGGATTAATTTTATGACCTGATGATAATAACGATGCTACAAGCTACAGCACAGCACTGAGTCAGCACCACCACAGGTGCAGCGGTGCGAACAGGTCAGCGGGGTCACGGATCTGTCTGTGTGAGACCGTCCATCTCTCGACATCAACGAACCTGACTGTTTCCCACACTGGATTATAGCTAACCCTCCTTCTACCAACACTGCCCAGAGCTGTTGGTTTAGCGACCGTCGCCATGTCTGAGAATGTGCAGGGATGTTGAGGGGAGCAGGAATGTGGCGCTGAGCCCCTCAGACTGGCAGAATCCCTAAAGTCGGAGACACAAGGCAGAATCTCATCATAGTTGTAAATGCTTCAGTTTGGTCTGAAAAGCAAAGACGATACGATCTTGTTGATCTGAATCATTTCCATTTCACGAGCCACATAAATCCTTTGAGTGTTCCAAGCTGTTAATCCACTCACACAAGACAAATTTAGGGTGAACCTTTGTCCTTCCTTCAGGGTTTGACTAGTGTGTGTGGACCAAAACAACCCGGCTTTATTCATTGTTCCAAGTCTCAGCAGAAACACGCCTGTAAGGTTTTTATTTTTATGATCTAAATTAAGCCTTTTTTTTTTCAGGTGGAACGGATGAACTCCTTCCTGAAAACTCCTTCAAGGGATCAAATTATAATTTCGGTAACATCGGCCTGGCTCTCTACAGTGGCCTGTTTGCCTACGGTGGCTGGTGAGTCCAAAAATCAATTCAAGCATCATCAGTTTACAGACATGTAGAATCCTGATTCCAATGCACAACGCAGCTTAAGTGGGAATACGCAAAAAACTCTGATGTATTTTCACTTGTTTTAGGAAGTAAGAAAGCAGCTCTGCTAAGAACTTTGCCTCTCAGCTTTACCTCACAATTAGATAAATATTTAGTGTTGAAACAGGTGACAGAAAAGAGAGACTTTGTGCATCTGAATGAGCTTACTTACACCTTTATGCTCTCAACTCAATCAGCATTTAACTTAATGAGGCAAGCCCATATAGAACTTTATAAACATCTGGGAAATCAAACGCAGGAATATAAATCCGCAGCTTCTCCTTTCCTCTATAAATCCATCAGTGATTCAATTCCATCGTCTTACCAAGTGAATCTAACAAAATCTAATCTTCACTTTTTTTATTTGGTCTAAAAGGTTCTAGTTTATCTAACACGTGTCTCTCTTAATTACAGGAACTACTTGAACTTTGTTACAGAAGAAATGATCGAACCTTACAAGTAGGTATCTGATTGGTGAGAACGTGTGACAGATAAAAGGCGGCAGCTGCAGCATAACTTTCCTAACCACTGACGGTCTGCTCTCTGTGTGTCATTCAGAAACCTTCCCCGAGCCATCATCATTTCTTTGCCCATTGTCACAGTTGTGTATGTCCTCACCAACCTCGCCTATTTTACTACGCTCTCCCCCGACGAGATGCTCAACTCAGAGGCTGTCGCTGTGGTGAGTTGCAGAAATGTCACAAGTCCTTCCTATTATTAAGGACAAACTTCACACAGTGATGATTTTATGAATCGGTTTGGTTGGTTTCAGCTCCATCATATTCTCAAAGAGATTAGATGCCGAAGTGGTCTGCTATCAGATTCCAAAACACAGAAGCATACGGTTTATTTTTGCAACAGCAGTGCTACCAGCAGCCTTCAGGGGCACTAAAACTGGAAGTTACAGGTCTAGCTCCCCCTAGTGGCAAAATGTTACTCATATTTAACCTTCAGCCTTTTTTGTTCTACAAATATGACCTGACAAAAATCATATTTTGGATGATATTACATTTATATTTTGGCACATGCAAGTTAAGCATGTGTTGTAAACAAAAAAGCAGTGCTGCATATGATCAAGTCAGACTGAAGGCTGTGGCTAGGCTAATGCTAACTAAGTTAGCTATCAACTGCTTACTATGATATTAATAACAGGCTGTAATCCAAATACTTTTATTTTCAACACATACACACAAACTGTGCTAAAATTTCAGCATATATAAACATTCATTTTCATAACACAAAATATCTCGTCAGTAAAACCAGAAGGAGACATTGAGCACCTCTGTTGGGCGTCTGATGAAACTGGCTACCAGACAACACTCTTCGTTCTCGCACTTCCTCACATTATTTGGTGATTGAGCATTAACATACGTTTTATACATTCGTAGGATCAAATATCTGCTGTATTGCAGGTTCATTCAGAGGAGTTTCACAATTAGCAGATTAATTACAGCTCCTCAATCTGAATATAAAGGATGGGTTACTCCCTCCTCCACCTAACGGAGAAAACTTAGCTCTTATACTGTGTATATTTGCCTTGCAGGACTTTGGAAACTATTACCTGGGCCCCATGGCATGGATCATCCCCGTCTTTGTGGGTCTGTCGTGCTTTGGATCAGTAAACGGCTCTCTCTTCACATCATCCAGGTAACACATGACTTTTTAACTACGGTGATGCAGAACACCTGATAGATGGCATGAGCGGTTCGGCTCACTTATCTTCTCTCCCTGACAGGTTATTCTTCGTGGGCTCCCGGGAGGGTCACCTGCCCAGCCTGCTATCCATGATCCATCCCTCGCTGCTCACGCCGCTGCCATCACTTATCTTCACAGTGCGTTCTTTTTACTATTAGCTGATTTAAACATGGATTACATTAATAAGAGCGGAACACATCTGAGTGATGTTTAAATCAGCAAACTGACGCGTTTCTGCAAAGGGTCTTTTTAGGTCACCTCACTGATTTAATAGATTAATGAAACCATGCAGAAAGTTTTTATATAGAACATTTATTCTAACTTTTAGCTGTTAATGTTGGCATCTTAGAGCTAAATCTGTCTTTTTTTAAATCCTCTTAGTGCTGAATAACCCTGCTGCCTGTTTTTCTCCCTGCAGTGTTTGATGACGCTGCTCTATGCCTTCTCCGATGACATCTTCTCCGTCATCAACTTCTTCAGCTTCTTCAACTGGCTCTGCATCGCCATGGCGATTATCGGCATGATGTGGCTCCGCTACAAGAAGCCTGAGCTGGAGCGGCCGATTAAAGTGAGTCAAAGCAGATTGTTTGGGAGGAGCATCGCCCTGTTTGTTTCTGAAGAAGTAGTCGTTCTGTTCTGGATTTTATTCGGATCATTTGGTGTTTGCTGCACAGGGCAGACTCATTGGTGGACTCAGCTGCTGGCTGGTTACTGGTCATAAAATGTCTTTGGTTCAGATCCCCCAGTGTCGGATTCTTCTTTGTCCCATGCGACAAAGATTCAGTCAGATTCCCTCGACTGAATCTGGATTCTGATCAAATAGCAGAAATGAAGCAGGAATCCTATCAGCTGGGGCTGATGTCTGCAGGGTGGCTGTAAGTGTCTGCCTGCTGAGACTTTCTGAAAAGTGTGAGTAAAGAAAGCATTGGGTGGCTGCTTTCACTGCTCCCTGGCATGATGTTGGATGTCGGAGAAATACAAAGAGGCTGATGGAGGGACAGTGCATCCTCTCACTGTTTTCTTTCACTGTCACATTCCTGCTGCTCAGCTGATTCCCTGTTGGACTGCTGAAAATGAATCCTGCCGGAGATGATTAACGTGTGGACGTTCGGCCTGCATGGACTTTTTTTACAGAATGAGAGCACTGGGTGTCCTGTTCTAAAACCTTTGAAATCAGTCTGCTACTCCCTGTTGAACTTTTTCGTTTCATACAGAGCAGCCTGCTGTTGTTACATTTTTATTTCCTTCCAAGCAGCCGCTTTCTAGTGGATGTTGTAGATCTCCTGTTGGTTATGTTCATCTGAGAAGCACCGTCCCAAACAGGCTGAGCGTGATTGGTGAAAGAAATGTCTTTTTTTTAAGGACATTTTCTTCTTGCTGCTTCTAAGAACACGGATTTGCTCTTATCAAGATTTTTTTGTGTTTGTGCTTATTTCTTTTTCTCTGAAGGGTTACAGTCTTATTAACTTATTAATTACCATCTATCCATCCATCCATCCATCCATCCATCCATCCATCAATTGATCAATCATTCCATCCATCCATCCATCCATCCATCCATCCATCCATCCATCATTCCATCCATCCATCCATCCATCCATCCATCCATCCATCCATCCATCCATCCATCCATCCATCCATCCATCATCCATCGACCCATCCATCCATCCATCCATCCATCCATCCATCCATCCATCCATCGACCCATCCATCCATCCATCCATCCATCCATCCATCCATCCATCCATCCATCCATCCATCAGGGGTTTCCATCAATTGATCCATCATCCCATCAATTGATCAATCATTCCATCCATCCATCCATCCATCCATCCATCCATCCATCCATCCATCCATCCATCCATCCATCCATCCATCCATCCATCCATCCAGTGTCTTGAACACCGTCTCTTTTTGCTCTCCGCAGGTCAACATCCTGCTGCCTATTAGTTTCGTGCTCGCCTGCCTTTTCCTCATCATCGTGTCTTTCTGGAAGACGCCTAAAGAATGCGGAATTGGCTTTGGCATCATCGCCACCGGACTGCCCGTTTACTTCATCGGCGTTTGGTGGCAGAACAAGCCCAAGTGGATGATGCGAGCCATCTGTGAGTGAAAACTCTCCTTTTTTATTGATAAAAAGTATTTAAACCAAAGTGTCTTTGATCGAATAACTTATTGGCTAAATTTTCTCCCACATCTTTTGACCTTAAGGTTTCTGTCTTCCAGCACTGACTATGCATTCCATTTCCTTTGACTAAACTATATTTTTCACATTCTTTGAATAAGAAAATCTAAAAAAATCCCAATTAATGTGATGCATGACCTGAAACATCATTTCCAGATGGTTTTGGTGATTTCAGTGACTTCACTCAGTGGAGATCATAAAACTAGACTTCCTGCTTTTACCATATCACTGCCGCATCAATGAGGCAGTTTATCTGCAGGAATCAGAATATGGAGAAATAGTTTTTCATATCAATTGTTCATGAATCAATTAATATTTGATTAATATTAATTTTTTTCAATAAACATTTTCAAATTGGGTTAAGAATAATTAAAATAATTCAAATAGATTTAGTAAATCTAAATATTTTTCTAAAAATATAGCAACATTCTCAAAGTTTTTAATTTCTGTGTATTCTATCATTCTAACATATGAAAAGTTTTCGGTTTACTGGAAGGATGTTACTTTAACTAGATTTTTTTTTTTCCTTGCTTTGTTTATTTATTTTAACTCTGAGTTATTTAATCTGAACAAAAAAGAATATTTTATTGCTTTATTGGTTTAACAATGATGTACTGTTAAACTGATATGACACAATTTCCCAAAATAATTAAATGTTTAAACTAAACATTAAGGGAACTAAAATCAAATTTGAAATGACTTTTTGTCTTGATTGACTGTTATTTTATTTATTCATCAATAAATTTTGATTCTTTATTTAATGTCCTGACTAATCTCAATAATGGAGTTAGAACTCCCCCAAAAAACTTTATTATGTTGTCTTGACGGTTCTTTGTTGAAACATTTCTTTTTTCCTCCAAGAAACGTCTTCAGTCTGTGAAATTACAGTTAAACTTTTCAAAAGAATCTTTTGCATCATGGATCACTTGAAAACGGTGACCAACAGCCTAACGACCAATCATTAGTGCTGTAATGAACGTTTATTGCTCCCAGAGGGCTGAGTCATGCTCACAATAACAGTATTGTAAGAGGGGGACAATTGGACCTGAAGACCTTCATCCCATTTAAAGATGGATGGTTTCTCTTCCTTTACTCATCTCTCTAGGCAGTGTTCCTCCCTACACAGGATGAGAAAATCTGCTCCAGACTTAAGAAGTGTCATAATGGGCTTTAAAGATCTGACCCACATGCAAAGAACCACTCAGAGACCAAGGGTAAAAGTTAACCGGTTTATTGTGGGTAAGCAAAAACACAGATGGAGAGATATTCTGCTGGGTAATACTGTTGAACCTCAGCGGACTGGTGAACCGGAAACTCTCAAGGGGAGATCACAATGATCAGTTCAGGGACCGTGGGAAAAAGATCGAGGCTTCTATATTGCTTGAGAGGCACTCACGTTTTGGGGGGCTCTTGGTTATTCCTTGGATCCAGTTTGTGGGATCAAATCCAGAGAAGAAGGGACTCATTCGAGAGCGGACAGGCAGACTAACGTTGGACCCAGAGGAGTAAAGGAGCGGACTGTCACCTGGTTTTCCAGAGGTGGATGTGTGGAGGTTTCCCCTTGCTCAGTGTGACTCAGATCAGTGTTTCAGGAAGGCTTCCTGCCAAAGAACAAAGACAAAAACAAGCTTAGACTCAGAGAGACTAGACTAAGGTTAGACTCTGCTAATCTCAGTATGGCTAGAGTAACCAATAGTGGCAAACACTCTTGCGTCGAGGTAGTGACAGCCCGCTGCTCAAATACTCCTCTGGTAATAACCCATTGAGCCGCAAGTGTGCAAGGAGGCCCACGAGGACAGGGCACCATCTGGTGATGGAGAGAAGAAGAACACAAAAACAACCCACACAAACTGGAATCCTAACAAGAAATTTGTTGAAAACATGAAATGTTCCAAAAATGGACCCGTCAAAAAGATTCAACTTATTTTTTTTTTCAGGTTCTTTATGTTGGTTATTAATAATAATCATAATTACATGCATCATCAGGGTAAATAAATTATAGATTTTTGCTACTTTTAATTGAAGTGAACTAATCTAATGGTTAAAACCCTTTATAGGGCAAGTTAACGTTTTTTAATCACGTGCATACCCCTTATAAATGGAGTCAAAAGTTGTCAATAATATAACAAACAAACTGTCTTTCTGTGTGTTTGCAGACAAGACCACTGCCTGGTTTCAGAAGGTAATGGAGGTGGTGCCTCAGGAGTCCTAAATGGCCGTCAGCCTTGATTCACCTCTACAGAAAGCGTCTGAAGTGACCTCTGGGCTCCGACATGAGAGCAGATGAAGTTTGACCTCCATTGACGTCTCTAACCCCACTCTGTCCCACGCTAACACACACATTCTCTCACACGTGTGCAGACTGCTGATCAGGACAGTGTCGTCAGCGTTATGTTTGCATTGTTCCTCAGCTGATCTGTTGTTTTTATGTGCTTTTATTCGCGACCATTTTAAGCTCTTGTTGCGCATCAACTCTTTTATGAAATCCGTTTCTTGTTTTTGTTTAGATGTTTTCAGTTTTTAGTTTAGAGACGTTAGAAGCAAATGTTTGAGTTTTAAGCCATCACTTCTTTGTCGTCTTGCTGCTGAGCGTCTGTTGGTCACCATGATGCTCCTGACCTCTGGACTCACTGTGACGGATCGAAGCCTAATGGAGCCCGATCCATCATCTGTGTTGCTATAAATGTGAGCTTTCGCTTTCATGCAGGTCCGCATAATGTGCCAGCTTGTTATCACCTCATGGGTTGTTGTTTTTTTTTTAATCTGAAGCGATCAGATGTTTTTCCGTTCAAAAGCAGCGACTCTCTGACATGCCGTCTCGTTAGGGTTGTTTATTTGAGGTCGTTGGCCAGATGTTATCTGTGGGGATCAATGCGCTCAACCCAATAAAGGTAGCGTCTCAGGCTGCGTCATTAAGTGTTGGGCTGGCATAGGGGGCCAAAAGCAGGTATGTGTGTTGTCTGTATGAGTGTTGGAGTGGGGGAGGGGGCGTGGCTGTGAGATGAATCCGACTCTTTTGAAATTTTTCATGAAACTGACCAAGTTTTCTTATGAGTTTTGTTCTGTTTTAGTTCAAATCCAGGCCTTTGCACACTCCTCTGTATTTGTTGTTGAATATGAACTTTTATCGTACCCTACAAATATATATGTGGGTTTCATTCCAAGCAGCCAGAGCAGGAATTCTTGAGTAGTAGTTTTCTCTCTGAGGTTCTTCCAACGGTTTTTTTTTTAATTTTGCTTCTTTTTCACTAATCTTTCTTATTTAAAATATCAATTCTGCTTTACTTTTTGCAAAACCACTTAGATGTTATGTTTTGCATGTGCAGTGCTTTAGATTTGCCTTTTTCTTTCATTAGCCAAAAATGAAAATGTAGCTCTTTTCAGTTTATTTCCTTAGGAACCTCCAAATCCCAGACGAAGTGTCGGTTTTGAGCTTCTTAACTCTGACCCATGAGACATTCACAGGCTTGACTCAGGCAGCAACTTTAGGGGCATTGCTACATCAGTCTTTCCTTCCATTTGTTATGTGAAATCTTTTGAAAAATACCAAAGATGACATGAAAAGCAGGCAGGGTCCAGAAAGAAACATGGAAAGCTGAAGGAAACCTGGAGAACCACTAATTAACAATTTCTGACTGCTAAAAAGCTAACTTTGCATATTGATCTGTATTTTGGGGTTTTACATTTAGACACTGAATATTGTCTTCCGTTTTTGACACTGGAGTAAGTTTATCCTATGTTTTTATTTTTATATATTACATATCTAAGAGTTACTGGGCTACCTTAGTACCTACCAACTAACTAAGTTTTTGTTTTTGGCTGATTTGTTTTTCCATCCTTTTTATACCTGATTAGATCCGGTTAATTGGTGCCACATTTGTAAGAACAAATGCATTTTTGGGGGGTTTAGCAGCGGTGTTGCCAAAATGCCTCTCTGCCAAACAGAGAGGCATTTTTTCAAATAAGATTGCAGGATTGGCAGAGTTTTTTTTTTTTTTTTTGCAAATGCTGGTTGAGGAACAAGAGGCCTTTATTAATGATTGACCGACATGTAGTATGTTTCTCCTAAGCACTGCCAAGGCAAGGTTTGTTTCTTTAAACTAAAGTTACCCAACAAAAGACAGGGAGCAGCAAAAACTTTCAACCTACAAACATGTTTTTCTTACAAACGTAGCACCAAAAAAAAGGATTTTTGTTGAAAACAGATTCATTGCCAAGAAGCATCACTGCAAACAAAGAACTAATCAACCATTCAGACAATTTCTGAATTTTCGGGCTCAGTTTGTCTTTAAACATTCAGATCCAAACCTAAAAGTAATCCGATTCACTTTGTTTCCAGCACAATGCACTTTGTATTAAAAGATATTTAGCAACAAATTAAGTAGAGGTTGGATCCTTTAAATTGATATAAACATAAGGGGGTGGAGGGTTTGCTGTTTCACTTTATTGTCTCCTTTTTGAAGTTATTTTCAGCTCAGTATTAACTTATTATGAATTTGAATTATACCTAAAAATACAGAGCTTGTGTGCAAAGGCCTTTAAAGTATTTGTTGGTTGAAATGTCACAGAAGAGTTTTTAGTTTTAGATTCGTCAAAGTGCCCAACGAGCCCAGTTTCAGATCACACAAGTGTTAGTTTTTTAACTCTTTATTCTCATGTTTCTGTCTTATTTCACAGTTACTTTCATAGCTGTTTTATTATTATAATTAACTGCGAGCCCCTCCTGCCCAAAGGTGCATAAAGTGTCACCGTAGAGGAAACAGGAGGCTTTAACGAGTCTTAGTGGTAGAAAACCTTCCTAACACTCCAGCCTTTGTAAAAGACGTTGGCAAACTAACCTAATCTGAAAGACTGTAGAAATGTTTATTTATTTATTTTTTTTAGATTGCTTTTATTGTTGTTAGTCCCTCTGATTTGTTTACAGGGCATTTTGTGAGAAGTGCTTTACAATAAATTCCATTTTTTCCACTTTTTATGTATTTTTCTTTGCTTTTCGAGTCTTCTGTTTCCTTTTAATTTGATTGATTAATATTATCTGAATCCTTCTAATTACAGCTTTTTTCCTAAGCACTAAATAAAAAGATAAAACTAGCTTTTTCTCCTGGTTGGAATGTTTATGAAAAATTTTTATAAAATCACATTAGCTGTCAGTTTGTGAATCACAACTTATTGTGCAAACATCACCATGTCCAATGTCCAAATCTCCATTTGAAGGGCAGTAATTATTGTCTAACATATTCCTAGTCTTGAAGGTTTTTTCACGCCAATATAATTTTTATACAGTTGGACCGAGTCACTGCAGAAATGTAATAATGTGATCCAAAATGGAAGCACAGCTGCAAAAAAACAATATTATTGCCATGGCAAAATTAGGCAGTCCTTTGCAATAAAGAAAGCGCTTCCTCATCTATGGCCATTCTGATGATGATCCAGTTTAGACCAGGGTTCAGTTCTCAGACACATTTTCATCCAGGAATACTTGATATCGAGAAATTCATGATCGAAAAATACCTTCCAGCCCAAACCATCAGCCTTCCACCACCAAGCCAGACAGTTGGCAGCCATTTTTAAATGTGTTCCAAATGGGAGTAATCTTTCTCTCTGTTAAATAATGAACTTCAAATCATTAAATATAATTCCTTACTTTACTTTGTTCAAATCAGCTCTTAGAACTCTGAGTTTGGTTTTTATCCTTCAGAATCTTGGATGGAAAGCTGAACTGATCCAGACTCCTCAGCTTCTTCTGCTCTACAGTTCAGAAACTCTGATGATAAAAGCTTTAGATAGTTAAAGGATTTCATATGGATACCCATGTTTATTTTATTGAGTGAAACCCCCCCCCACAATGATCACACCTGAAGTCAGGTTGTAAAGGATGATGCACTTCTAACAATGGCTCGGTTTGATTTCTTCAAAGCAATTTTTAAATCTCTTTGGATTTTAAATCTCAACCCAATAATTCTTAAAGCTTAATTTAAATATAGATCCTTCAAAAAGTTTTCATATATCTTCAACCTTCCACATTTTTTAACATGGAGATATTTTCCCCCATAACAAGTGTGAAAGGTGTGGCATGGATTTGTACACTGCCTCCACTGAGACGGATGAAATACGGTCTCAGGGGAGGAAGTATTTCATCTTTCCAGCTTCGCTGTTATGTTCTGTGTTGTTCCATCAGCTGCTGCTGCAGAAAGAAACAATGTAAACATGAGATTCTAAACACTTTTGCAGCCTAAATGCTTTTAATGTCACTATTTTAGAGGAAATGACAGTTTAATGGAGGAAATTTGGATCAAACTGTTTTTGTTTCAAACTGCAGGCTGAAAGTGACGATGAATTTTCTTTCTTCTGTTTAAGGTGCCTTTTTCACATCTTGCCAAGAACAACAGATGCAAACTAGTCTTTTGGCAAACTCCATTATATTTTACAGTTCTACTGTTAATTAATTTACAATGTCCTTTAACAATACATTGAATTAAGATCAAGTTTAAAGCTGGCTCCTAGAAACAACACAGGATCATCCTCTTGGTTTAAGAGCCACCATATAGAGTACCTCAAAGATTCATAGGTCAGAGGCTGAAATTATTTAAATAATTCTCTCTAAAAATTGTCAACTGAGGATGAAAAAAAAAAAGTTGAAAAACCTTTAAATATTATCATATCACAATAAAAGCCAATCTGCTTGGTGATTAGGGATGGCTCATGTTATGCCATTTGTCCTGAACACCACAATGATGTTTGCTTTGCTATCATGTTCTGACCTAAAAAAGGTTCTGAGCTTTCAAATATTATTCTTTTTTTCTTCTAAACAATAAAGATCATTATGATAAAAAAAAAAAAAAACATAACTTTGATGCTGATTGTAATTCTAATCGTATCATTGTACTGTAGCTGTTTTTCTTCTAATCTGCAATTACTGGGTGTTTCTCGATGCATTTAAATGTGTTCAGAAAAGGTATGCAGAATCTTTGCATTTACCAGAAACTGGCAGCTGTCTGTCAGATGGAAGCTGCAGACTCAAAACTGTTTGGTTAATTGCTGTTTTGTTTTTCTGTTAGCAATGCATCATAATCTCTTCCTTGGGCTCTTTAGTGCAGAAGAGAACTCTTTCTGCTACATAGAATCAGAACTAAAGACTCTTCTCTGAAGTATTTTTTTTTTCACTCGGCCTTCGAATGCTTTTGTTACAATCCTGCACACAGTAAAGTGCTGATGGTTCAATTCAACAACATCCTCAGCAGTTTTTGAAGTTGTTGGAAATTCCTGCTTCCCACTTGTTCCCTTTCCCAGCTGCAGACACAGAACCTTTGTCCTAAACCTTCATAGAGGAGAACTAGGAGCTGAATAGACTCTGAAACCAATTTGCTTCCACTGGTCATGAATGTCCTTTCAGACTTTTAACTTTTAGTTCAGCAATCCTTGTTTATGCGAAGTTATTATGCAAAACCGAGCTCAGGGAATTATATACTTGGTTAAAGTCATTAGAACTAATCTAGAAATTTCTTTAACAAATATAAATAGATACCCGCTCAAATATATATTTATCCTCACTAATATTTGCTGAGATGTTTTTTTTTTTAGCAAGCTGAACGACAAACACATTCCTTAACAAGCTACTAGCATCATTTGGGCTACATGTTCGGCTGCTCTCAGTGGCAGTTATTTCATTTTTTTATCTGGCTGCTCTGGTAGACGTTCGCCTTTTTGCATGGTCCACACATCTTTAACAGGTTTGGAGTAAGGAGTCACTCCAGGAACTGAATGAAAGAATTGAAACCAGTTTGAGTGTGTGGTTTGGGTTGATTTTCTGTCTGCAAATCCATCTTCCTTTTTCAGCCTTTGAGCTGAATTGAACCTTCTTCATTACTTCCCCCCTCCATCATGAGATACACCATTACACTGCTAGGGGATCAATCCCACAGCATGATGCTACCTATACCATGCTTCACAGCTCAGATGGCTTTCAGTGGGTTTAACTCCTCCAAACAGCTCAATGCTACCTGTAAACTCTTGTCCATAAGGCTTTTGTCTCAATGTTAATAGAATTAAAAGCTTTAACTGACATTATTTTGCATAACATGTAATGAAGAAGATTAGTAATGATGTTAAAAAATAAAAACACAGTCTGTCACAATATATTTGAAAGTGCATGTGGTCTATAGGGAGGGTATTTCATTTTCTTGCAGACCAGTGAGGTTTCATTGACCTGCAGCGTTTGCCAGAAGGCCTCTTTTGAATAAATCGCATATTGATCATTCTTTTACCTATGCTGTTAATCATTAATTAAAGAAGCATATAAAAATTTAAAGAATCTGCTGACATTGATTTATTTGTGTCCCCTTCAT